CCATCCAGCTGTGGCAATGCCTGCTGGAGCTGCTCACCGACAAGTCCTGTCAGTCCTTCATCAGCTGGACGGGCGACGGCTGGGAATTCAAGCTTTCCGACCCGGATGAGGTAGGGCGCCCTCGGCACGCTCGCGTTGGGGCAGGACGCGGAGGGGGAGCCAGGGGCTTAGGCCCTCAGCGAGCCCTCGTTAAAGAGCAGCCGCTAATTGGGCCGTGGGGAGGCCCACGAGGTTGGAGGGCAGCAGGTGACATCTCACAGCTCCAACGCTCTTGGAGGAGCAAGAGGTTGGCCGTTAAAGATGGGGCTTCCCATGGACGTCCCCTCCGGTCCCTCCTTTCCGTATCCCCCCGGAGACCCATCCAGGCTTCCCATGGATGTCCCCACCCAACGCTCTTGGAGGAGCAAGAGGTTGGCCATTAAAGATGGGGCTTCCCATGGACGTCCCCTCCGGTCCCTCCTTTCCGTATCCCCCCGGAGACCCATCCAGGCTTCCCATGGATGTCCCCATCCAACGCTCTTGGAGGAGCAAGAGGTTGGCCATTAAAGATGGGGCTTCCCATGGACGTCCCCTCCGGTCCCTCCTTTCCGTATCCCCCCGGAGACCCATCCAGGCTTCCCACGGATGTCCCCACCCATGTCCCTTCATTCCGTCTCCCCACGGAGCCGCCCCACGGGGGCCTTCCCCGGCCCTCACGCCCGTTGGCCGTCGCTCGCCCGTCGCAGGTGGCCCGGCGGTGGGGCAAGCGGAAAAACAAGCCCAAGATGAACTACGAGAAGCTGAGCCGCGGCCTGCGCTACTACTACGACAAGAACATCATCCACAAGACGGCCGGCAAGCGCTACGTCTACCGCTTCGTGTGCGACCTGCAGAGCCTGCTGGGCTACGCGCCCGAGGAGCTCCACGCCATGCTGGACGTCAAGCCCGACGCTGACGAGTGAAGCCGGCCCCGGCCGGGACTCTTTTTATTTTCTTCCAGTTCTTTTATTTTTCCTTCGTTTGTTTCTTTTCCAAATTCTTTTTTTTTTTAATTTTATTTCTATATTTTTTAAGAGCAACCGGGTTTCCATGCGTTGAGGATGTTGGGAAAGAGGGTGGCGGAAGAGTCGATGCTTTTGCCTGGACGCAACGAAAAATCCAAGTTTGGCTCAGAGCGATGATTTTTTTTTTCCGGGGAAGATCCAAGACGGGTTTTGTTTTTTTTGTTTTTTTTTAAGGGATGAAACTCTGAGCTTTTAGGAAGCCAGAAAAAAAAAATGTAGCTCACTTTAAAAAACAAACAGCCAAGCCCCAAACCTTCCCCGCGCCTTGATGTTTAGGGCAAGTATTAACAACCGGATCCCTTCGGTTCTTGTGTTTTTCATGCAACAAACTGACAGGTCAGGAAATGGCAATATTCTTAGGGATTGGAGGATTTGAAACCTCCTTCTTTTGCGGAGTGAGGGGAAACAGGGAAAACCAGAAGTGAGCGAAACTCCTGCTTTGGAGAGGGGCAATAGGGAAAAGGAAGGATCCTTCTCGCTACGTTGCCTTTCTGCCCGCGGTCTCCTTTTCTGCAAAAGGCAGATTATTTTTTTTATTTTTTTTTCACTAGGAGGGATCAAGCCTTTTTATTATTTTTTAAATTTTTTTAAAGAAGTTTATTTTATTAAATTTTGTGCCAGTATTTTTTTTTTCTTGAATTTTTTACGTTTCGTTTCAGATAGTCTTAAGCTCTACGGTTGTCTCAGTATTGCAATCGCGTGTGTGTTCGTTTCTGTTACGCCAGCAGAGAGGTTTAGCACAGCAGGGAAAAAAAAAGGACGGAAAGGAAAATCCCGCTCGCGCCGAGCCGGCCGGAGAGGCGTCGCACCGGGATTCGGGAGCTCCGGATAGCAGGGATGCTGGCTGGATCCCCACCTTGCTGATAAAGCTGGTTGGAATTGCCCCCAAAGCGCTTTATTTGTTCTATGGTTGTTAAAAATAGGTCTTTTCCATGTCTTTTTCCCTCCGAGCGCGCAGCGGCTTTCCGAAACGCGGCGGCCGGCGTGTCGAAAATGCCCTTCCCCATTTTCCAAATGGGATTTGCTGTTATTTTTTGGAGAGGAACCTGCGCGGCGTTGGGGGAAATGGCTTTTTTTTCCCTTTTCCTTTCCTGTTTTGACCAGCTCTATCTTTACGGCCGCGTGTCCCGCTCCCTGCTCCCGCCTCGGGCTGGGATGCGCGTGAAGCCGGAGCCGGCGCCGCAGAAACCCCGCTTGCTTTTTGAGTCAGTATTATGAATTTGAGCCAAAAAGACCTTTTTTTTTTAGGGGGAACGAGGGGACCGGGCGGCGCTTTAGGAAGGGAAGGAGCCCGGGGCTGCTCGGGATCCTGCTGGAGCATCCCGGAGAAGCGAGAAGGGAGCGCGGGAGGAAGGTGCAAGGAGCTGCTCCAAAAGGGAATAAAAAGGGAAGCTGCTGATGGGAGGTTAAATCCCCCCCCAGCATTCCCAGAGGCAGAAAACAGGGATAACGCTTCATTCCGGCCGGGAAAACGCGGGTGCGGGTAGCGCCCTGGCCAGGCGCTGATTTGCCTTAAAGGTTCCCAAAGTGCCGGCACAGCCGATCCCGGATGGATCCCGTGCCAGGGGGGCCGGGGGGGCTTCATACACTGGACATTTGCCGACCCGTTGGCTTTGCGGGATGCCGCTCGCTTTTCCTTCGCCATTCCCAAGAATGGGAGAAGAAGAGGGGTCGCTCCGGCCAAACGGGGCCAAAAAGCGGCGGATCTGTAAAAGCCTCCCGAGTTTTCCCTCTCCTCTCCCCTCCAAGCAGCATCTGCTCCCGAAAAGCACCTGAACCCACGGGAAACCTCTCCGCTTCCCGCTTCCTCCGAGGGCTTTTCCATGGAGCTCGGCTGGGATCGCCTCGGCTTCCGGCACGCTCCGGCCAAGCTGGTCGTCTACATTCCAAAGAGGTTTTTAAAGAAAGGATAAATCTATGTATACATATATGTTATAACGGAATATCTCCAGGAATTAACTGCCTCAGTGTAAAAAAAAACTGAAAAAAAAATATTACCGAAATGTCTTTTTTTTTGTTCTGTTCTGTTTTTACACATGGGATTTTTTTTGAAGCTGATAAACATAGAAGAGAAAAAAGAAAAAAAGAGATTGTTATATTGTGCTGTTCGACTATTTTCCAACGTGTATTTTCATATAATTTATATTTTTTAAAAATGGGCGGGGGGGAAAAAAAAACATTTTAAAAGCGAGATGACAAAAAAGCGAAAAAAAAAGGAAAAAAAGCAGGTGCTTTTTAAAAAAAAAATAACTGAGCTGAGGTAGCTTAGAGATGTAGCGACGTGTGTGTGTGTCCGTGTGTTGTGTTTTCTTGGGTTAATTTTTTGTTTTTTTAAAGAATACAAAAAGCAGCCCCTCCTCCATTGAAGCCTTAACGACGGAGGGGCTCGGTCTCGTTTTAATTGCTGATGCTGGCACATCATTTTGCTGGAGAGTTTTTTATATACTGTAGCCTTATTTCCTATCGTATTTTAAACCTTGTGGAATTAAAGAGAGGAAGAATTCCTAACGCGCCGGCTCCTCCTTTCCTCCGGCCGCCGCGTTTCGCATGGGCGGGATGGACGCGCTGGGGGGGTTAAGCATTAAAAACATATATATATATATATATATGTGTGTGTTTAGTTGAGCGCGGAGCTAAAAATACAGCCCCGCGCACCTGGGCTGCCGGCAGCGGTTGGTGCTGGGGAAGTCCCCGCGCACCAGCTGCTCTGGGGAGGCTGAAGGCCTCATCATCATCATCATCATCCTCTTCCTCATCCTCCTCTATCCTCCTCCTCATCCTCCTCACCTTCCTCCTTCTCCTCCTCCTCCTCCTCCTCTTCCTTCTCCTCCTCCTCTTCATCCTCATCCTCTGCCTCATCCTCCTCACCTTCCTCCTTCTCCTCATCCTCTTCCTCCTCCTCTTCCTCCTCATCCTCCTCCTCCTCCTCCTCATCCTTACCTCCTCCTCATCCTCCTCACCTTCCTCCTTCTCCTCCTCCTCCTCTTCCTTCTCCTCCTCCTCTTCATCCTCATCCTCTGCCTCATCCTCCTCACCTTCCTCCTTCTCCTCATCCTCTTCCTCCTCCTCTTCCTCCTCATCCTCCTCCTCCTCCTCCTCATCCTTACCTCCTCCTCATCCTCCTCACCTTCCTCCTTCTCCTCCTCCTCCTCTTCCTTCTCCTCCTCCTCTTCATCCTCATCCTCTGCCTCATCCTCCTCACCTTCCTCCTTCTCCTCATCCTCTTCCTCCTCCTCTTCCTCCTCATCCTCCTCCTCCTCCTCCTCATCCTTATGCTCCAAGCCCAGGTCCCCAGCTCGGCTCTGCTCCGCGGGAAATCCCTCCGGGCTCTTTCCGCCCCCGCGGATGCGCTGAGCTGCTCCGAGCATCCTCCCAGCCCTCATCCCAGGCTATTTTTGCCCCCTTCTTCCCTTCCAAGCATTGTTCCCGCCCGGAGCTGCCGCCGTGGCCGCCTGGGCTCCCGGTGGAGCGACTTTCCCACCACTTTCTCCCCCGGCACGAGGGATGCAGGCGGGAAGCGCGTTTTGCCGGCTGGGAATAGCGGCCGCGAGGCTGTGTCCTCCCTATCCAGC